AACATAATAAATACTAACTTTTAATTATCAATTATATATTGATGGTTAACTTAAACACCTTTACAGCTTTTATAAAACTGTTTTTTAAATATAACCTTTTAATTTCAAAAAATATTGAATGATTAATTTATATAATTTTTTATATTATTTAAAGTTAATTTTTTTAATTTATATAAAATTCATAATATTAAATATATATATTTATTTAATAATATATAAAAATTATATAAAAAAATAAAACAAAAAAATTATCTCAACCACACCACCTGTAATAAAACAAAGCAGCTTGGCCACGCCCTTATTTTCCCCTGCAACCTCCGACCATTATCCTGCCACGTGGCATTTTTCGACGGTCTGATTCGACCCTCCGTCCCCCTAGTGTTGTTCTTGTCTAGGAGCATGGGCAGTCCTTGGTGTTCATATAACCCACCGCACATCTATTCGTTAGAGAGAGAAAGAGAGAATTTGGGGCAATCAGTTCTTTAGCAACAAGGAGAGGTCAGGATTGCTCACAAATCTTACCTGAACCCCCCTTTATCTTATCATCTCCCAAAACCTTCTCTTTCTTTGGATATTTGATTGTTCCTCTTTTCACTTTTGCATGTTTCATTCAATAGTTATGCGCCCACCATTGCCTCTTCTTTGGTTCTAAAACCTCAACTCCAATTCCACTAGAAGTCTTACTTATTGTTTTCTGAAATTGGGTATCCGATTTTTGTCCCAAAATACCATTTTCTTGATTTGAAATTAGGGGATAATATACATAGGAAATGGCTCCAAGGTCTGGCAGGGGTAAGTCAGGCAAATCAAAGACAGAGAAGAAGAAGAAAGAGGAGAAAGGTAAGCAACTTTTCTTTAAGATAATAAAAAATCCCCTATATATCTGCTATATGCTTTGGTTTAAAATTTGATTTTTGTATTGCTAACATCATTCTGTATTTTTGTTTCTCCAGTTGTGCCTAGTGTTTTTGATATCACTGTCATCACTCCATATGGATCCCAAGTTGTACTGAAGGTACTGCCTACACTTCTTTTCTCCTATTTCCCCCTTTTTCTCAGTCAGCACATAGAAACAACTTTTCAGTCCTGTTGAAAATATATATAGCATATTCTTACTGTCTCTTCTTTTTTCTTTTTTGAATATATATGTCATCTTCCATTCTAAAACTTGATGAACTTAACTAATGATTTAACCAAATATTTGGCCACTTTATGAAGGGCATCTCCACAGACAAGATACTGGATGTGAGAAAGCTATTGGGTCAGCATGTGGAAACATGCAATCTTACAAATTATTCTTTATCTCATGAGGTGAACATCAGACCATGAAGTCTTCATTTTTTAAATTTTATTTATGTGATTAGTTTTATTCAGTCCTGATTGACAATATTTTATTTTACCTTATTTTCTAAATGAAGTAATGATGATTCTTCATATGTATGTCTTTCCTTATATAATAGTTAAAATAATCTAATAATGAAATTTAAATTAGAATGAAATTAACTAGTTTGTTGTTCAACAGGTTAAAGGGCAGAGATTGAATGATAGAATGGAGGTTGCAACTCTGAAGCCTTGTTTGCTAAAAATTGTTGAAGGTAGGTGAAGACTTCTCTGGCCCCAATGTCTTGCACATGTATGCTGTACTCCAGTCTTCATTTATGACATATGTTGTGCTAAAGACAAAATAATATTAGAAATTTTGCACTTAATCACCTTAAAATAATGGTAGTGGGAATTTGTGAGGTTGATAAGTCTCAAACCTATTTTGTTTACTCAAGGAAGATGTAATCTGCGGTTGTTTTTTTTTTTTTAATGTGATTTGGGCTGGAATACCTTTAATTTTTTCATTAATAAGTATTTAATTTACATAACAAAAGAGCAACTTTATTTTTTTAAAAAAATATATAAAAATTTAGACATTCTGTCATTAAAAAGTTAAGACATTCGCATCTAACTCTTTGGGCCACCTTTGAGTTGCAGTCCCCCTTTCCTGGTGAGTTCGAAATTTGAATCCCACCTTTATCACTTTTTTAAAAAAAAAAAAAAAAGTTAAGACATTCAATCTTAACCATATAATATGTCTTTAGGTCTTACTAATTGAATACTTATAATTAAATTTGAACCATTATGACTCTTCACTCTCCTTTTTATATATTTTTATTATGATTCTATTTTTTTTTTTAATTTATGAAAGGAAAATGATTTTGTGATAACTTTTTTATATCAATTTTTAATACAACTTGATGTACTATTTAAATAATTGATTGTTTTTATTCATATGAAATTTATAATATTAAATACATCTACTAATTTAATAATATATAAAAATTATATCAAAATATAATATAAAAAATTATCTCTATAATACCACCTTTTATGAAAATAGACAATGAAATATTTTTATAATATGTTAGTACTAAGGTTAAGGTATGTTACTAACTTACTATTTATGTGACAGGATGTAAAATAAATGGGACATAGTGTGGGCCTTAGACTTCTAATTATGTCCAATATATCATGTGATTGTGCCACCTCTTGATTTCCCTTTTTTTAAAAAGATGATATTTGCCCAACAATTGTTCATTATTTACAACCATGCCACTGTATTATGTCGTCGCAGAGGACTACACGGAGGAATCGCAGGCGGTCGCCCACGTACGGAGGCTACTGGATATCGTCGCCTGCACGACGAGGTTCGCCAAGCGCAAACGAACTCGATCGCCGCCATTTCCATTGGATTCTAAATCCAAGAAGAATGCCAGTAAGCCCAACCACGGCAACGGCGGCGGTAGTGCCTCTTCGGTGTCTGATGATGGAGGATCATCGATGGAACCGTCTATTTCGGCGGCGATTTCGGAGGAAATGGACATGGCGGCCATTCATCCAACCCCTAAGTTGTCGGAGTTCTACGACTTCTTCTCTTTCTCCCATGTCTCTCCTCCCATTCTCAGTAAGTACCCTTAGTTCCTTCTTTCTTTGGTGTCTTCATAAAAAACGAGTGAAATGCCTAATATGGAAACTGGTTCTGGGTTTCGTTTTGCAGATTTGAGGAGATATGATGAAGAAGAGTGGCGTGATGGCGACTTCTTTGGAATGCAGGTGAAAAATCTCAATCCTATTTGTGTTGAATTTAGTTTATAAGCTCTCAGTGCTTGAAATATCATTCATTTTCTTGTATGTTTTGAAAGAAACCATGTATGATGTTAATTTTGATACAATCTAATGTTTGAGATACTCTGTTATTATATTGTTCTTGTTTTTTATTCCTTTTGCCAATTTCTGTTGATGCTACTTATATTGAGTACTGATATTGAAGATGTAATCAACACATGCAGATAAAAATCTGCAATGGGAAGCAAATACAAGTAGTTGCCTCGGTAAAAGGGTTCTATGCTGTGGGAAAGCAGTCTTACCAAAGCCACTCGTTGGTAGATCTTTTGCGAAACCTCAGCCAAGCCTTTGCCAATGCGAGTACTTTTTACCTCTATACTCTGAATTGCTGATGTTTCTATGCACGTTGCTGCATTTGTTGCATTTGAACCCGATGATGGATTAGACAATGCAGGGAAATTCCTTGCTAGGGTTTGACAAATTTTACAGTTTAGCCTTGGGTTCTTCCCTTTATATTGTGTAGTTTCTGATTGGCATGTCTGTTCTTATTGTTGTTGCAGGCGTATGAGTCCCTTATGAAGGCATTTTTGGAACACAATAAGGTGACATTTTCTTTTTTGTTTAATAGGTCATTTCCCTTAAAATGTGACACTTTTGAAAGCAAGAAATACAAGCTCTCTTCTTTTTTTTAATTATTTACATTTTGATTTCTAGTTTGGTAATCTTCCCTATGGATTTCGAGCAAATACATGGCTTGCCCCTCCATATGTTGCTGAGTCTCCATCAAACTTCAGCTCTTTACCAGCAGAAGATATAAATTGGGGTGGCAGTGGTGGAGGCCAGGGAAGAAACGGTGAATATGATCTTCATCCATGGGCTACAGATTTTGCGATATTGGCTAGTCTTCCTTGCAAAACTGAAGAGGAGAGGGTTGTTAGAGATCGCAAGGCTTTTTTGCTTCATAGCCGATTTGTTGATGTCTCAATCTTTAAAGCTGTTGCAACAATACGTAATGTGATTGATTCAAGGTTAAATGCAAAGGATACTGCAAATTGTCATCCTGGAAGAATCCTGCATGAGGAGCGTGTAGGTGACTTGTACATTACGGTAAAACATATTGAGGCAGATGCAAGCTGTAAGTCTGAAGTAAAAATTATTGGAAACCAATTATCTTGCAAATCTGCTAAGGAAGTTGCTCAGTGGAATTTACTTAAAGGGCTAACAGCTGATGAGAGTGTAGTTGTTCATGTAAGTATGTCTTTCTTTCTCTCCTTTGATTCAGCATCCTTCCAAGGAATCTTACTTGTTAATAAGGAGTGCCTGAGACAGCAATTGTTTTCCCCCACCCTTGATCTACAAACATGAATATATGTGACAAGAAACAAACTTCTCTATCATAGAGCCTTCATCTGTCTGATGTTTCTAAGTGGGATCCATTTTAAACCCTATCCTGTCAGATAACAGCATTTCTTTTCTACTTCCTCAATCTTTTTGGGACATCTCCTTATCCTAGTGAGTCCCAACTAAAGTTGATGAGCCCATCTCTGGTGCAGCCTATTGATCTTTGTTCAACTTAGACAAACCCTGTTAGCTGGGTCAATGTAAATTTTGATGATTTTGCATCATTGCAGAACTATTACTTAAAAAGCCATTTCCAAATTTGAAGTTTAAGCAGCAGATATTTTTTGTTGTTTTGCACAGGATACATCCTCATTGGGCATTGTCATTGTAAGATACTGTGGTTACCTTGCAACAGTTAAAGTTGTTGGTGATGTGAAGAGGGTAAAGAGCAATGCTCAAGATATTGAAATTGATGATCAACCAGATGGAGGAGGCAATGCTCTTAATGTTCACAGGTCTGGATTATATGTTAGTTAGTTATTTATTAACTCACAGACAGTCTTAAATTACACAACCATCACAGACATGCTAGTAGGAAATCCTGCAGGGAGGAGTGGCAATTACATCTGAAAACCTAGTTCTAAGTACCTATCCTGATACATAGAATTTTATGCTTCGCGTTTCATTTTAGTTAAGCTTTTTTATTTTTGGCCATATTTTAGTTATGCTTCAAATTGTATAATCCGGTGAATCTAAGCACACTACTCTTTATTTGCATTGGTAATAGGAGATGATGCGATCAGTGATATTTTAAAGTTCAGGGGAAGCCTATTTGTTGATTGAGTGTATGCTAAACATATTCTGTCCTCTAATATCATGTCTTGAATGAGAAAGAAAGTTGACTTTTCCCCATAATAACGTGAGGAATTGCTTTACTATAGGCTTCCATCCTAGTACATGTTAATATGATATCCTATATAATGAGGCATGCTAGCGAGAAATGTAAATCTGTACCTTCCCTGAAATCTTTCTGTTTTATTAGATTTGAAAATTCAAGGACTATGTTTTAGATGAAACTTTAGTGAAAAAGGAAAAAATAAGTAAAGGTAAAGAAAGCTGTCATTGTACTCCTTGGTAATTAAGTTTCAATCAACTTTTAGGGTAGGTTATTTATGTGAAGACCAGATTTCTTTTAAAGAGATGTGTTACTGTTTTATTCACACAGCTAAACCTCTATGATTTACTAAGTTACCATGTTATTCCAGAAATTTGGAATCATTTACAATCTGCTTATAACATGACGTATTAAATCCTTTGCAGCCTTAGGGTTTTACTTCTTAAGCCCTGCCATGCAGAATCAACTGGAGAAGGCCAGTTGTTTAAAACCAATTTTGATGATCTAGGAGCTCATAAATGCCTTGTTCGAAGAGTTATAGAAAAGAGTATAGCAGAACTACAAGAGAAGACACCTAATGTTGAAAGGTCTATCAGATGGGAGCTTGGTTCTTGTTGGGTGCAGCATCTGCAAAAGCAGGAAACTCCAACAGATACTAATTCTAAAGTACCTAAGAATGATTCTGAAACTGAACATACTGTCAAAGGTCTGGGACATCAATTTAAATTTTTAAAGAAGAGGGATAAGAAACTGAGTAATGATACTAGTAAAAATGATAAGGAAGAAAAGGATACTGGACCAGGCAGCATGAATCTGACAGCTGATGTAGGAGAGCAAAGCAGTGAGTACAGCATTGATATGGAACTGAAGAACCTAATTTCTGAAGAAGCCTTCTTGCGTCTTAAAGAAACTGGAACTGGTCTTCATTTAAAGGTTTCACTTCTTAGTGACTACTAAAAAGTTAAACATCCATTCTTATGTTTTATGTATTTCTCTAGCTGTACATGATAATGCTTTATAGAATACAAGCTTGCTGTGGTACTGAAGTTTTTTCTTGTTATCTCTTGAACTAATGCTGCACTTTTGCTTTTTGTACCAGTCTGCTGATGAGCTCATCAACATGGCATATAAGTATCATGATGAGATTGCTTTACCAAAATTGGTACTGTGAAATCATCCAGTCATTTTTGCAATCCAAAAGACCTTTTAGGATTTGTTTGTGCATGCTTAATGACCAATTCTCATAACTTTTCAGGTAACAGACTTTGGATTGCTTGAGCTTTCTCCTGTTGATGGTCGTACACTGACTGATTTCATGCATTTGAGGGGATTACAAATGCGTTTTTTGGGTCGTGTGGTAAGTAAATTCTCTGTCTCTTGAACTTGTTCTTTTGGTCTCTGCAAGCAAAATTTTATGAAATTCTTAGTTTGACTTTGTGCAGTGTGGTTTTGACTTTGCGAAATAAAATTGTTTACATTTAAAAATATATGTTTTATTTTATTGTTGATTGTGATCTCATTATTTAAAATAGGTTGAACTTGCGGAGAAGCTTCCACACATACAATCACTTTGCATTCATGAGATGGTTACTCGAGCTTTCAAGCATGTAGTCCAAGCAGTAGTAGCATCAGTTGACAATTTAGTGGACTTACCTGCTGCTATAGCTTCATCCTTGAATTTCTTACTAGGAAGTCCTGGAATGGAAGATCATGACCAAAATCTGAATGATGACTATGCTCTAAAATTGAGGTGGTTAAGAACATTTCTTCCAATGAGATTTGGTTGGACGCTCAAAGATGAGTTCTGTCATTTAAGAAAAATCTCAATTCTTCGGGGACTTTGCCATAAGGTAGTAATTTTTTAAAACTCTCAAGGTTCCTGAGCACATTCAGGCCCTAACTTTTACTGGTAATCCTTTCCCAGATTGGGTTGGAGTTGGTTCCGAGGGATTACAATATGGAATGTCCCAACCCCTTCAAGAAATGTGATATTGTCAGTATGGTTCCTGTTTGTAAGGTGGAAATATCTCTCTCTTATTTGTTTTCCTTCATGTCCACATCAATGGAGCAGCTGGCATCAATTAAACATAGCTATGCTGTGTCTGTTCTATTTTACAGCATGTAGGATGCTCTTCAGCAGATGGCCGCACATTGTTGGAGTCATCCAAGGTTGCTCTTGATAAAGGAAAGCTAGAGGATGCTGTTAGTTATGGAACAAAGGTACTCCTGTTCAATCTCCCAAAAAAGCTACATCAATTTGATTTATTCCATGTTTCTTAAGAAAGAAGGTGGATAAAAAGCAACTGTTTCTTTTATATTCCTTTTCTTTCTTTAATTTTGAGAAGGAAAGAAGAAAGTTGGAAGTTAGTTTTTTATTTTTCTTATCAACCGCTACAACATTTGTTTCAGAATGGAGGAAAAACTGAAAAAGAAAGGAGAAAATTTTAAGCACAATACACAAGTGAAGTCCTTAATGACAAGCCAAAACAAAATTTCTGCAATAAAATGATCAATAATATGTCCCAAGTGAACTGGCCCTTATGGCCTGATGGTTCATGTCCCAAACCTAAGCTTAGTGACCTATGAGACCTGAGTTCAACTCAGACCATTGTTGTTTTACCTACTCCTTCCCCCAAATTTCCCATCTTCAAAAAAAAAAAAGTCCCAAGTATATTTTTTAGAGTTAAATCATGTTCTTCTAAAAGGAAATTGAAGAAATAACTTTGATCCAGATGCAGAAGTAAGTTCCTAACGTTCTTCGTTCTTTTTCATTTTTTGGTTCCTGTTCTTCTCCTTTGCTGCGAGCATATGCAGGGTTGCCAATATAGTGATATGAAATCATTTGGTCTAATACTATGTTTTTTATTTAAAGGCATTAGCAAAGATGATAGCTGTCTGTGGTCCCTACCATCGAACTACTGCAAGTGCCTACAGTCTTCTAGCTGTGGTTCTCTACCATATTGGAGACTTTAATCAGGTATCATCTTTCTAAGCTATAATTCAGGTTTTGATTAAGAAAAATGGATTAGGTATCACTTTCCTGTTCTTAATGGAGAAGAAGTAAAAATTCCAAGTGTCTTTAATATTTTCCTTTGAATGTAAAGCTCATAGTGTATATGCTTGAATCACAAAATGAAAGATTTAACTCAACTGGAGTGCTATGTCCTATGTGTTTATACTTAGTCATGTTGGAGATTCGTAGTGTAACATTCAACTCATTTTCCAAGCTATATCTGGGAATGTTTTTTATTTTTATCATTTAGCCATTTTTTGCTAATGTTTTCTCATTAATATCTCTATGACAAATAGCTGTGTGACTCTAAAGAATTTTCTCATTAATTTCCTCTTATTTCTTATTCTTTTCTTGTTTAGGCAACTATATATCAACAGAAGGCTTTAGATATTAATGAGAGGGAGCTTGGCCTTGACCATCCAGATACTATGAAAAGCTATGGGGATCTGTCTGTGTTTTATTATCGCCTTCAACACATTGAATTGGCTTTGAAGTAAGTCAGAAATAATTGTTGCTTAACTTACATTTGAATTGCTAAAAATAGGCATCTTCAGACTTTTCAATCTTGAACTTACTAAGATGTGTAACTGCTTTATCATTGAAGACTAACTTGAAATAATTTCCCCTTGATTCTATTCATTTTGTGATTGTGGTTTCATTCTTATTGGATAGACAGTTAGTAATTTTCATTCCTTTTTTTTTCTGTTCTATTGATCAACTTTGTGCATCATTGACAGATATGTAAACCGTGCTTTATTTCTACTTCATTTTACCTGTGGACTGTCTCACCCAAATACTGCTGCAACTTACATAAATGTGGCTATGATGGAAGAGGGCATGGGAAATGTTCATGTTGCTCTCAGATACTTACATGAGGCTCTAAAGTGCAACCAGAGACTATTAGGAGTGGATCACATTCAGGTCTCTATCTCTCAGTGCACATGTGCATGCTTGTGTTGATTTATTTTGATCATCTTGCATACTTGTAGTTTTCTAATAATTTACTACTTTTCCTTTTTTTCGTAACTTTTCTTCACTCTACAGACAGCTGCAAGCTATCATTCCATAGCCATAGCTCTTTCATTGATGGAAGCATATTCTTTAAGTGTGCAACATGAGGAAACCACACTCAAGATACTTGAAGCAAAACTTGGATCAGATGATCTTCGTACTCAGGTAATCACCTTGGATCATATCTGCCTATACTCTATATGCACGGGTGAAACTAGGGAGGGCAAAGGTAGGACATGGCCCCCTAACAATTGGGAGATTCTAAGTTACCCTCCCTGATGGCCTAAAAAGAAAGAAATTTACTGCTCCCCTCCTTCCCTCCACTGTTCACTGTCACAAGTACATTCATCAATTGCAATTTAATCATACATCATCACAAATCCATCAAATTATACAATATTACATACTAATTGAATGTGTATTTCATAACTTTGAATCTCAAGTGGGTCAATATTCTTTTACTAGTAAAGGGGTTAATTTTGTTAAATAGTTTGATTTCTAGTTGCAATTAGGAATCTGGAAATTAAAATGACTTTGCCGTATATATGGAGTTTGCACTTGGAACGTTAAAAAACTCATATCAAGGCTAAATTGTAGAGATCAATTTCCCAACAGTAACTCGTGATTAATTAGCTTAACATTTCCAACACAGAATTTACCACAAATGATTATATCTTGATTACCACAGTTATAGGATGATTATATCATTTTAATCATAGTACTTGTTGGATATTATAAATCATATGTACTTCTTTCCTTTGTTAGTAGAAATATGTAATTTACTTCATATATTAAAATTTTAATTAAATTAAAGAATTTATTCCCTAATATTTGATCCTCAAAGAAAATAAAAACTAACAGAAAAAGAAAAACTAAGATTCTGATTCTGCCTATCCACACAAGTCAGCAAGCAACATCCATTTATTTCTTTTGTTGCCAATAAGTAAGGAGGGATATATTAAGGTACATAATGATCAAGCAGACTCAAGGTTGAATTATGGCATCCATTTGCCTGCAAACCGACATACTGAAATGTGGGCCACATTTTCTCTCTTAGGATGCTGATGCTTGGCTTGAGTACTTTAAGTCAAAAGTTCTAGAACAGCAAGAAGCAGCCCGTTGTGGATCTCCAAAGCCAGATGCATCAATTGCAAGCAAAGGCCATCTTAGGTAGTTACATGGTATTCCCAAAGTACTTGGTTTTAGCGTTGTATATTTTTCTTGTAGCGCCATAATCTATGACCCTTTTTGCAGTGTGTCAGATCTCCTGGATTACATAAGTCCCGTTCAAGATTCTAAAGGAAATCATGTGCAGAGGAAGCAGCGGCGTGCTAAGGTAGTGGTCATTGTTTTCTCAGCTTGTTCAATGCCGTAAAAACCTTGAATTATTCACATTTATTAAATATATGATCCAATATTCAGTCAAATTTCCATATTGATCTGAATTTTGTTTAACGAGCCAGATATCCTAGCTGACACAGGGGTCATTGTGGACTGCACAGTTGCTTTCCGGTTAAAACACCTTAGTAACTTTTATTATGGTTGGAATCAACAATGAGTTGGACTCAACCATCTAATCATTTACTGTCCCAACCGACATTCAAGGGGAAGTCTGAAGAGACTTTTCTTTGGTGATTTAATTTGCAGCTTTAACAGAACGAGATCTTTGATTGTTTTAACTTATTTTTCCTAGCCTGTTAATATCGTTTAAATTTACAGGCATTTGTTTAAATTTAGCAGGCGCTGCAGGATGGTGATAAAACCCAGCAAAGAATAACAGAAGATGCCACGATCCATGATGGCTCAGAAAACACTGCATCTATTATAGATGGTAATTCAGAACTGGTAAAGGCAGACACACGTCCTGATGAATCAGAAGACAACAGTGATATTTCTCCAACTGAGCCAACAGTCATAAGTGAAGTAGTTGAAGAAACGACTTCACATGAAGGTTGGCAAGAGGCCGGTTCAAAAGGAAGGTCAGGAAACAACAGTGGCCGGAAGTCTGGTCAGAGGAAACCAGTTCTCTCAAAGTTGAACATAAAGAGATCTGAATTTCCAATTTCTAGAGGAGGCAGTGCTAGACAGGAAATCATTTCACCTGCAAAAGGAACAACTTCCCACAATATCACAACTGAGCAGTTGCCAACGAAACAAATTAAGTCTCATAACTCAAGTCCTGGAAAGAACTCGATTAAATCACCGGCAAAAGCTTCCGTGTTTAAAGGTTCCTCAAGTCCAGCAAATCACAATGTGATTACTTCAAAATCTCTTTCTTACAAAGAAGTGGCTGTGGCACCTCCAGGTACAGTTCTAAAGCCATTACAGGAGAAAGTACAAGGACTAAATGAGGAAAAAACCGAGGACCACAAGTGCATCACTCCACCTGAGAAAGTAAAGGTGGAGGGAAGTAGTGATGTCTCTGTTTTTGCTGAGAGTCATGAAGAAGTTGAAATAGAAGAAACTCAAGAAAGTGAAAATCAATCAGAACAAACTGCTTTAGAACTCAAAAAGAGTCCTAACGAGGAAAAGACTGCAGAAACAAATGGAAGTAAGCTATCAGCAGCAGCTGAGCCATTCAGTCCTAAAGCTCTCTCCATGAATCTCCCACAAAACTTGGTTCCTGTCACCAGTCTTTATGGAGTTGGAGCCAGTCAAGGCATGCTTGCAGAACCTGTTGGACCTCCAATTGCTGCTAGAGTTCCTTGTGGGCCTAGGTCACGATTGCATTACAGAACTAATTATTCTTACCGCATTAAACATGGCTTTCCGAGATATCAGACTCCTATTATGGAACGGAGTGGATTTGGACCTCCAAGAATTATGAACCCTGATGCACCTGAGTTTGTTCCCAGGAAAGTTTGGCAAGCATCTGGAACTGATGACACAAGTGTCTCAAACGAATCAAACTCTTCAACAGAGCCAATGGAAGCAGAAGTGGAGAAAGTTGGTCAGAAATGCAATACAGAAGTAAATGGTGGTAATTTGAAGAAGAGCATCTCTGAGGCTGAGAAGTTAGAGTTAGCAAGGCAGATTTTACTGAGCTTGCTTGCGAAATCAGCACAACAGAAAGCAGATCCTCCAAGTGAGGCCATGGGGAGTCAGAAAAGGTTTGGAAGTTCGGAAAATTCTTCAGATGCAATTACAAATGACAGTGCAATTATAAAAATTCTTTATGGTAATGAAGCAAGGGATTCAGTTTCTCAGTCCACTAACCGTAAGCCACCTACAACATTAGATGTAAATGAGACAGGTGGAGATGAAGGATTTGTGGTTGTCACAAGGCGAAGGAGAAACAGGCAGCAATTTACAAATGCAGTTGCCAATCTATGCAATCAGCAATCCATCTGTGCCTCTGTCAGGTGAAGGAAGTTAAAGCCTGAGAAATCTCATCACAGTAAAGGGAAAAGCATCATCATCTTCGTTAATCTTCCAGGTCTTTTGACTTTCCAGTTGTTCCTTAAAAGAATACTGCTCAGCATGGATGGAAAATCAATATAAGAGAGAAGTTTCAGCCATAGATTCATATTCGTTGAGGGAAAAAAATAGTGTGTTCTAAAAATCTCTTTAAAATTGCTTCTCATTTTAGAAATTTTGGTTTACCAATAAAAATGCTAATTGGCGAGTTTGATTTTTTCTCCATTTCTGTGCACCTTTGTTTATTGCTTTATCCCTGGGATTATTATTTTCATTATGCATATTTGATACAGGATAGCCGAGAATGGGTGAAGAGTAGATAAAGGCGATAGGAAAATACGAGAACGAGTGGAAATTTATTGGAAAAGAATGGAACTGACACTTGACAAAGAATTGGGGGAAAATATTGGAGAAGAAATAAACATTTTCATATTCTCAAATCATAACTCATACTAGATCTTAAATAACAAAGATTATTCTTTGATTTAATTAGGGAGTCTTTTTTTTTCCTAATATATTAATAATTAAGAACTTAAGATTTTATATTAAAATTTTCAAATTTAAATTTTGAAATAGATTAAAAGATATTTAAAAAATATATTTTTTATTATATAATTCATCCTTTAATATACCAAGAAAAAAAAGAAAGAAAGAGAGAAGCTTTTGGATTAATAATTGCAACTTGTTGGAGAGAGGGACAAATGTTTATCCCAGTTCCATTTTGTTATCCAGACTTGATTTATCCTATCAAATAGAGAGATTAATTAATAAAATTTTATCATGTAAAATTTACCACATGGTTGAAGTTTTATATCTTTGTCACACATGAAATAATGGCATGCCATTGCTTCACAAATAAACAATAGTATGTGACATACATAACTTTTCAAATTTTGAAGCAAAACCTTTTTTCTCCAGAGAGCGTGTATGTAGATTGATTGGAGCACTGTTGTTTGTCCTCTTGTTCGAGAGTACAAGTCAAGTTTTAACATTTCAAAGTCTGAAATTGGATTGTAATTTCAGCAACTACGCATCCTGACATGCAGTGGTGGAAAAAGATTGAAGGGGTCATGCACCCCTTGGTCATAGCATTTTGGTTTCTGTCACATCCTAGGTTGAAGGGGTCATGCACCCCTTGGAATTTTAAACATAGAGGGCCCTGTTTTGTCTCTTTACTTGTGGTGACAAAGCCTCTGTAGCTGAATTTTTAAAAAATATACAAGATTAGAAATTTCATGCCCACTTCCTAGGCTGCATTCCGTGTTTTATATGTTATATGACATATGGTCATGTTTGCTTACCTTGGGGTGTGGAATGTCATTTTCAAAAGGGCAGATCAGGATAAGTGGAGCTCGGGAAGAAAGAATCTTGTCAGTGCTTATTTCTCAATAAAAAAATCTTGTCAATGTCTGGTTTTTCCAAAGGAAATTACTGAAGCACATCTTATCCTGGAAATTTTATAGGCATTTGTTGTCCTGTCAAAGGACAAGTATACAGGAGGTCAAAGGGTGGGTTGGCCATTAATATCGCCCTTCTTTTTGCCATGTACCATTTTTCTCCACAGCTTCAACTTTACAAGCATGTGAATCCGGAAAGGCCAACCCAAAAATGGCTTTCCAGGGGAATCCATTTTTCCACAAAATGTCCAACACCAAAATGAACCACCCATTCTTTCCTTACATCTTCTATTTTTTCTTATGTAGAGATGGAGGAGAATAAAAATAGAAGTTTAGTTAAATAAATAAATTAAAAAAATAAATCCCCTCTCTTTAAATTTTTTATAATTAAATAAAAAAATTTATTCTTTTTATTTTTTTCAATCCAAAAATACTATTTAAGTCATTTTCTCCCAAAGCTCTTTTTTTTTTTTTTAACTACTACAAAATTAACCTTTTTTTTAATATACTAAAACAAAAAGTTAAAATCTATAAAAAGGGAAATGAATAGCAACAGTATATGTTGGAACTCTTATAATAAAAATGTAAAAATATTTTATATTAGGGACAAAATTATATCATCCACCAATACTCCACTACATAATTAACTTGCGAATTGACTAAATATTCTTTCATATTAAACCATTGTGACAATTAACTGTTTAGATTTGATATGATTTTTGAAAGTGCAAAACAGCTAAGATTCACTTGCACCATCTACCAATAGCAATGAAACAACAATTTGCCTACTTCTTCTCCCAACTTCCTTTGCTATTAACTGTTAACTTGGCTGTTGGTTTGTCAGACAGATGCGCCGCTCTGCCATTACAGCATCATTTAATATTTTCTCCTCATTTGGCCAAGCGCAAAATTTTCTCTTTCGGCAAATATTTTCCCACAAGTAATAATTGTAAAAAATTAATAAAGTTTACTACAACTACATCCATAAAATTAAAGGTAAAAGATTTTTCCTAAAAAATAATAAGGATATATTTGGTTTAGTTTCTTGTTTGTTTAAATTTTTTGATATTATTCATATTTTGTAAGTTTAAAATTTTTTTAACAAATTTATATTTTTTTAATTTTTTTAACTTTAAAAAGATTTCCAGTTTAAACTCAAAAGTTTCAAATTTAAATTTTTTATAAATTTCATTTTTATTCACTTTTTCATATCTCTAAAAGTAACTTTTAATTTTTTTAATAAAAATTTAAATGATTCACTCATAAACAATAATAAAAAAACCAAAACTCTGACAAGTTAAACCAAACAAACCCTAAGAGTATGTTTGATAAAACTTATAAGTATTTTAGCTTTTTTCACATTATTTATGTTTCATAAATTTAAATTTTTATTGAAAAGAAAATTTAAAAGTTACTTTTAAAAAAAATAAAAAGTAAGTAAAAATGAAATTTTCAAAAAGTAAAAGTTTGAAACTTTTCAAAATTTACTATTTAAGATTTTTTTAAAATTAAAAAATATATATAAACTTTTTTAAAAAAAATTTAAACTTATAAAATATAAATATATCAAAAAATTGAAATATTTGAAAACTAAACTAAACAAACTTTAAGGCTAGTTCATTCTTTGTTCAACTAAAATAATATTAAGACTCTCTTCTTCTTCTTCTTCTTCTTCTTGTCTTTTTTTGAGGATTAAAACCCCCAACAATATATTTAAATAAATTTTTTATTTTAAAATTTAAATTACACTAAATTATAAAATTTTAAATTAGATCATAACCCTTAATATCAAATAACCGACCCTTATTCTATTGTCTATATTTTCCAATGATAATTGCAAAATAATTCCTCATTAGAATAACAAGAGAGAAATTTTTGCACAGGGAGGCTATATAGCTCATTCAAATAAAATAGATATATAATCGAAAGAACTACAGATAAAACATCAACCAAGAAAAATTTACTAACAAATAACAAAACACTAAATTAACCATTGAAAATCTTATCTAAAAGTCAGTCAACACATAGATGAATTAATTTTGTTCCTCATCCTCGCCGTCTCTCGGAGATTGCAAAGGAAACAAATGCAGCAACTCCGGCGGCTCCGCCCCTCTAGGCGTGCTCTTCGGACTCGGATGTAAATAAAACCCTTTATTTGCAATTGCTTTCTCTTCTTCCTCCACCAGAGATGTAGAGCTCTCGCTACCACCGCCAGACGTGGGACTCACGCGCTGCCAGAATTCCAGCGGCGACACCGGTGACACCATGAACCCGCGCTGTTTTACAAGGAACAACTCCGGAAACTCCGCGTTCTTGCCAATGTCACCGTTGAAAAGCTCGATTTCCAGCTTCTTTGCCGACCGCCGGCGCTCCTGTAGCTTAAAAGCAGGCTTCTTCGGGCCCATTTCAGGGATGCCGCGGGTCGGATGCGTGATGGCGAATTTCTGGGCGGCTGATGGGTCATCACGAGCACCCGTGAGCTTTTGTACTATGGTTCGGAAGTTTGAGGGGTCAGCTTGGACGAAGGTGGTGTTGGAGGACGTTGTGTGATCTTCTGGGAGATGCATGACGGTGGTTTGCTTCTCCGATGAACGGCTGAGCGGAGGCAACATTAAAGGAGAGACGGCTGATTAGAATCGAGGAGGAGAAGTGTTGGACTGTAATTATATATATAGTCGGAGGATGAGAAAGCCAAGGGTTGGGTAGCGTGTTGGTATTTCCAAATAAGATTTTGCTTATTCCAAGACAACTGGTGCTTAGGGCAAAAGCATCATTTTAAGTGCTGTGTCTTGCGTTTGACTTTGTGAAGCTATTGTTTCTGTTTAGGATGACACGAAGGCTGATGGGCTGTGGGTGTGTCCACTTATTAAATTGTAAATAGGGTTAGA